TTGTGGGTGCCAATTTATGTATTCCAGTGTGTGTGTATGTGTGTGTGTGTGTGTGCATTAATATTGGAGTAGAAACCAAAATTTATATGTTTATTTATTTGCTTAAGTTGTCAGTCTTCAGAGTGTGTGTGTATGGGTATCGTTAGTCCAGTGTGTATTGCAGTTCTAAATGCTGGTTATTTTGTCCTCTTTAGTGTTTTATAATTTACAACTTATAATTTTACTTTTTTAATTTACCCGTACTAATCATGCTTTTTCTCTCTTCTGTCTCTCTAGATTTAAAATGGCAGCTGTTAGTCCACCACACACTCAATGGGGACCTGGTACCACATGTATAGCTAAATATAACTTCCTAGGCTCAACACCTCATGTAAGACTGGAAAGTTAAAAGTGCAAATGTCTTCCTATCCTCTCCATTATTTTGCCCTATTCTTGTTTCTGTGTCTTTTACCTCATCCTTTACTACTTTTATAATCCTACCTCTCCTTTGTATAGGATTTACCATTGAGAAGAGGTGATAAGATAATCATTCTCAAAACAACAAAGGCAAGTCTAGTAAATAGTTTGTGATAACTTATTCTTAGTGATCTTAGGATCCCAACTGGTTCCTAGCTAGGAAAGTTAGTGATGGACAGGAGGGGATGGTTCCATTCAACTATATAAAGGAAAATATTGATGAACAGGAAATATCATCATCATCCCCTGTTGTTGAAACTGGATCATCTCAGGAACAGCACAAAGTCAAAGAAGCAGTTGAGCTACATGCAATGCCGTAAGAGCTAGCATAAAGTTGTATAAAAAATTATTAATTAGTAGAAATTTTTTATAGCCAAAATTTTTTGCAAATTTTAGTTGCATTTTTTCAAATTTCAGAAAAATAAAATTGTGAAAATCAATAACATGGCTGAATAGTGTAAAAATGAAAGCTACAAAATAGATTTTTGAATAGATTTGGAAACATTTGGGCCACAAAAATTTTCCACTATAATACGGTAGTTCAGTAATGTTTTTTTAGTTGGTTTCATGGCAAAATGTCAAGGCAAGAAGCAGAGAATGTACTTAACCCTACAAAGGATGGTCTCTTTTTAGTGAGAGAGAGTTCATTCTTTGCTGGTGACTATATACTGTGTGTTTGGTGAGTTTAATTAACTATTAGTTGATTAACCACTAGCTAATAAGCCATTAGTAAATTGACTATTCTTATGTTATTAATAGTTATAAAGGTAAGGTTGGACACTGTAGAATTACGAGAACTGATAAAAATTTGGTGACTCTTAATGGTAAAGAATACTTTGAAAATTTAATATCACTAGTTGAAGTATGTTTTTTCCATTCTCTCTATTCAATTCATTATCTTTCATTGTTGCTGTTACAGCATCACCAGAAGGATGCTGGTGGTCTCCCCTGTACATTAAAATACAGTGCTGAAAAGAAGTGGAATATTGGTATCAGTGATTTCAAAAAACGTAATGAATAATAAATAAAAGGGAATAATTCATTTACACTGTACTGATGTGATAAGACAAGACTTGATGTTATATTAATTTTATTTATATTATAGATGCTGTAGGAAAGTGGATGGAGGAAGGGAGTGTTGATCTAACTGTTACTCGTGTTAATATGCTTGGTGTTCCTGGAGCTGGTAAAACCTGTTCACTGCGCCTCCTACTAAATGAAGACCCACCCACTAATGACACCAGTACTCCAATTGCCTGCCCTGCCGTTAGAGCTACAAGAGTTGCTGTCTCTGATAAAATGATTTGGAATCGAGTGACTCCGGCCAAATTACTTGACAAATTAGCAGCCAATTTGGCTGCGGTAGCTGTAAATTTAGAGCAAGAAAAAATAGAAGAACCTCCCAGTTCTGTAGTCCTCTCATTTCCAGATAATGCTCAGTCATCAGGAGAAGTATCATCAGATCCATCTTCTACTTCATCAAAGGAAAACTCTCCTCAGTATCATGATGAAGCATTCATTCAAGAAATTTTAGAAATTTTAGCCACTCAACCAAAAGAGATTCATATAAGTGATCATTGGCTGTACGTCATTGATTCCGGTGGTCAGCCAGCATACCAGGAGTTACTGCCTTTATTCACTAGAGCAGCTTCTCTCAATATCATAGCACTGGATCTATCTAAGCCTTTCAATGAGAGGTTTGATCTGATGTACAGGATCGATGGAAAATACTTCCCATGCCACTCCAAGTCAACTCAGTTAGCATTCTTCCAGTCTGCAGTTTCCACTGGAGCTAGTTTTAAGCCTCTTGATATTTCCTGCATCTCCAAGAAACCGACACACTCCATGCATCTTGTATTGGGAACGCATTATGACAAGGTGAGCAATGCTACTCTTAAAGAAAAGGAAGAGATTCTAATGTCTTCAATGTCTTCGTTGGAACCTTACTTACAAGAATGCATCATTCACCAATCTGATGATTATGTTATTTTTCCTGTCAATACGGTTACTACATCAGAAGAAAGAGCTAAATACAGTGAAGAGATTTGCAATGCAATATGGTTTGATGGTTCTGCTGCTTCACTGGAAATTAAAATACCAATTCGATGGTTTGCATTTGAATTGTCTTTGCCTGAGCAGAGTATTGTATCAGTTAAGGAAGCTTTATCTATTGGAGAAAGATATGGGATGAATGAGGAAGATAGTAAACAAGCTTTGAAATATTTCCATGATGTCAGTCTCATGTTATATTATCCAGAAGTTACAGATATCATCTTTATCGATTCTAAGCCAATCATTGAGATTCTCTCACAATTATTAGCTCTCACGTATGTTGATGATAGAAATGCCCGAGCATTAGTTTTAATCAAACCACTTTCTCGACCCATCATGAATAATCTCAAGGAAGGATTTTTCAATAAGAACATTTTTGATCACTTGAAATCAAGGTCTGTTGTATTTTCCCTGCCAGAATTCCAATTGTCTGACCTAATCAGACTCCTCCTTCATCTTAACATCATCACAGAACTAGAAGATGAACCAAAGGGACACTACTTCATTCCTTATGCTCTTCCTTCATACAATGAACCAGTTTCAATTAAAGAGACTAATGCTAAGCCACTTCTATTAGTCTGGAGGGAAGAGGAGAGTGAAGAGATCCTACCAGTTCCTACAGGATTGTTCCCTTTAACCATCGTACACCTACTCAACCAGAAAGAATACATTACTAAAATCTCTCCATCGACACCAGCTTATTTCAAATTTCGAGATGCGATGTCCCTCAAGATAACCTTCACACAAAAGCACACACTTCACCTCATCAACCGTTACACTCATATTGAAGTGTACTTCACTGGTCCTACCCAGCACTGTCCATTAGTACGTAAGCTACTCACAACAGCTATTGATAATAGCAGTGATGCCATGCACCTTAAGCATAATTACATCAATGCATTTGCTTGCCCTTACAATGAGAGCTGCTATTGTATTGTAAATGAAGATCACCATAAAGTAGCTGATTGTACAGTTTGTGGTGAATCTCCTGCTCTTAGCAATGACTACTGGACCTGGTTTAATGACGCACAAGGTATGTGTATACTAATAATTATTATTTATAATTTATCACTTAAAAAAATTGTGTATAGGACCTGCTGAGAGTAACAATGGAACACAAATAAAACAAGTTAATAATCAGTCATCAGATGAAAGTATTATTTTATAGTCAAAATTATTGAATTTATGTTTACTTATTTATAGACATTAAGGACAAGGAGCCTAAATTAAAGGACCTCCATAGGCTTTTTGATAGTTCTGCTGCTCATTATTTAACTATTGGTACTGCACTTGAAGTTGAAGTGGACGACTTACTGCATAGTCCATTGTCAGCCTCTGATAAGCTAATGGCAGTATTCAAGAGATGGATAGAGTCCAATAAAGGAGTGACCTGGAGGAACGCACTACAAGTTTGTGAAGATTATCCTGAAAAATTTGGAAAAGTAAAAAGTGATGTTGAAGGATTCCTTTCATCAAACAGAGCTTGTGACAATTGTGAGAAATAATAAAATGATTATTATACATTGCCTGTGCTTATTAAAAATTGTAATGCATTGCATTTTTCTGTAAGTGTCATTATAATAGTACGTTGAACATTAAAAATTAATTTTGATTATCAATAATTATTGTTCCTTTTTGTAACAAGTATTTTTATCAACTTGTAATGCCAGCTATGTACATGTATACAGCCAGGGAGCAGTCAAACAAGAAATGAGGGTCAAAGAAACATGACAAAGTGTATAATTTTATTTGATTTCCTCCACTTCCTTTGTATCTGTTTTCAGTGCCCTGCATGGCTTCCTTCATTTCCTTGTGACTATCTAATTCTATTTCTCTTATTTTGAAATTTCCTTTTGGCAAGGTAAGGGCAAAGTATTATGCTGTTTCATTTGCTTGTGATTAGGAACTTCTTTATTAGAGACTCAAAAAAACCTGCAATAAAAATAATGGGAAAAATTTACTGTTCAGCTTTTTCAAAATTCTGATACCGTATAGTGGGTTATTTTGAGGATAATAAATTTCGTTCATTTTCAAAGATTTGCAAATTTAATTCTTTAAAATCAATTTAATACGGTACAAGATGGCAGAATAGTGAAAATTCGCAAAAAATTAATTTTGTGAACTTCCGGATACAGGTCATTCGCGAAATTTATCATCCTCAAAATAAACCCGCTATACAGTACCATACATTATCGTGTAAATTATAATAATAACGTAAAAAATGAGGTATTAATAATAATAATCACAGATAAAAATCACTCTTTCTCTCAGTCTCTTCATTAAACAATCAATCATTAATGTGTTCCACTAATATTCCTTCTCATTGGTTGATATGTTACTCTTAATGCAAGTTCTCCTTTAGGTACATCTTCTAGTAATAATCTTTTAGTCCATGGGCCATTGTTACCTCCTTCATCTCTTAACTGCTTTAATGATAACTTAGCACAACCTAAGAAATCTAGTGAGAGAGAGAGGAGGGAGAGAAGAAAGACGTAATGTCATCATATTAAAACAATTTACTATTGAACAGAAATTAAGACATTCAGAGGAGGGGTACATATAGTACATGTACATGTACAGAAGACAAGCAAATAAATTGTATTTTACCATTAGGTGAGAAGAGGTCACTATCAAACATTGTAATCTCTAATACAGTATCATTAGGATCACTTATTAGAAACTCTGGCATCTATAAAATAATAATAATAATAATAATAATAATAATAATAATAATAATAATGATAATAACAAACGCACAATGTACACAATAAATGAAGTGCTTCATTTCAAATGGACTATTTCAGAAATGAACATTTTAATGAACCATTCCATTCATATGTAATGACCAATTTTAAATTATGTTGTGTAGTACAAACTCAGTACAATATCATATACATGTACATGATATACTTACTGTATAATTCTATTTAGGATTTAAATCATTTTTAATAACTGGTGTAGCTGATTCTTGATTATCTCCAACTCTTATAACACAAAATGGATCACTTTTACCATCAGCAGATGATGCAATGAGATCAGCAGCTTCAACAACTGTCACAAATAACTTACCACTAGCCACCTTACGTAATGTCATCCTACGACTATCACCTGTTAATTAATTGATGGGTGTGGTTATTAGTAATAATTAATGGGAGGATTATAGTTACTTCTTATTAGTTTAGAACTTTGTTTCTGTTTTCTTACATACTCTACACAAGCTTCCATTATCTGCTTCACCCATTTATCTCTGAAGAAGGGAGATAGAGAGAGATAGGGATCATGCAATGAAGAATAAAATACATGTACATGTAGGTCAGTGAATTCTACTACCTTCCAGAATCAGTTTCTGCTTTTAATGGTATTTCTTTCTTGGCATCAGTTTTCAACATAACAATAAACACACTCGGACCTAGTGATGTCACATGATGTCATTGTGATGTAATATGATATCATAAGTACTCACCATACTGGTCTACAGGACCTTTCTTTACTTGTATCTGATCCAATAAAAATGGCTAATAGAAAATAACCAGTAGGCGGAGTCATTAATAATTAGCCACACCCACCTCTCTATACATTGTGAATTGGTTATCGGTGAAAGGTTCTAGCTGAGCTGCCGTTACAAAGAGACTCTTGGGCCTCACGAGCAAAAAGAAATCGTTAAACAAGAAACCAACCATCTCCTTGTTACCTCGTACCTATAATTAGTGGGTGTGGTTAATTGGGAGGGGCAGGTTAAGAGAAAGTACTTTTGTGAATTTTCCCCAATGGAGGAGCTTCCTGGAGCCCATGAAGTTAGTTTGTGAATTAAAGATCAGTTTCTAAAAACAATACAACAATTGTAATGTAATGCAAGTAAATA